GATTTTAGGAGAAAAATCACCAAATATTTTAAATTCTTATTTTAAAACCAAATTCCAGACTGAAAACTAATCAGACCACCCCTCACAACAAATTAATGTTGAAATAAAATGTCCTGAAATCTCTGGGAAAAGCATCCAAGTTACAGAACATAAATTACTGTTGTCACTAGACATTGCCTGCTGAGAAGGTAAATTAAACTGGTTACCAAGATACCAAAAATAAAACAAAAATATATGTGCCATAAAATATGAAACTACTGGGTATTAGCCATAATTTCTGGACCATTACACAGAACTGACACTGCACAGGAAAATACACATTAACAGCTCCAGAGCTCTGATTTATGGTGGAAAGCATGTTAATTAATTCAGCAGAAAGAGCTTCAATGATTGAAGATAAAAGTGTGTTTAAATTGTTCCACATAACTTTATATCTTCCAAAGTTTTGAGAATGTTTTTCATTAGCACTGCTGGGAGGAGACACAGCTGCTGATGGACGCACAGGTAACAGATTTAAAAGCACAAAAGCAAATCCTGCTCTGTGAGTGCAGAGAGGGGGAAGGAACAAAGGCAGAGCAGAGTCAGGAGGCATCACCAGAGGGGAGCAGCCTTTGTTCCACTCTGCAAGCAGCCCATAAAGTGCTGCTCAACGGGGCTCAGCATGCTGGGAGAAATGCCAGCTGATGCCAGCTGGGGAGGAGCTGCTCCCTGGGTGTGACAGTGGTGACAGGAACAGGGGGCACAGGGAGCAGTCACCTCTCCCTGCCTGTGCCTGTCCCTCCTGTCCAACATTTCATTGGCACAGACCACAGGGAGGGAGATATTCCCTACATATTCCCTATACACCAAAATGCAAGGAATTTGTGCCCTGCTCCAGCCCAGCAGGTGAGAGAGGGATGCCCCAAACTGCTTTGAAATCAGTACCACAATCAACCATTTAGACCTTGCCTCTCTTTTGCTTCTTCTTCTCCTCTTCTTCTCCTCCTCCCACATTTCCTTGGCCTTCTCCAACCCCAGCTTCCTGTTTAGGTGAATTTTCTAAAATGCAGCAGAAAGGAGTGAGGGGAAAGAAGAACAAAATTAGTGATCAAACACCCACAGCCTTAAAGGAACAAGGAGTAAGTAAAGTGATATTTTGATAAATCATTAAACTTAGTGCAGCAGCCTTTTGACTGATGCATGTTACATCTCCATTACAGTATTTGTACAAATTAAGACTCCAGAAAAGCCTCAGCTCCAAGCTACAATAACAATTCCAATAAAGGCTCTTGCACAGAGAGACAGAAATTAATGATAATGTTAATACTGAAATTCCAAATACAAACAAATAAGTTCCCTATTATAAATGACCTTTCCTCCAGCCATCCACTGTAGACTGGAAATATACACAAAATCCAATAAACTAACTCTGATGGGAAACAAGTGCATAGATGTTTATGGCAGGAACCTTAAGAAACCCCAAATATTATTAATAAAACTACAAATTGATTATTTAGTATTTTTTGACATCATAAAACCTATTTCAGAGCATCCAAAGCATTAACTTTCACAGGATACAGCAGGAAAAGGAAAGAGATCAGAACTGGACAAGCTCAGATATTTCCAAATATGTCCAAGGACACACATCAGTTAGAAAACAGAAAAGATTCTTACCTACTGTAAGTTTTGCAAACTCATCTGGAAAATTCTTTTCTAACCATTGTCTGCATTTAGTCACATCAGGCATGTATTCACAGTACTAGAGAAAATATATAAGAATGTTGTTAGTGGAGGAATGACAAAATACATCAGAAATACACCAAAATAGGACATAATAGGAGAGAAGGAAACTTGGACAACAAAAAATTACTCACCTCTGTTGGCAACGAACAGACTGGAGAAATAAGGGGAAAAAAAAGAACAGATTACAAAAGCAATTTTTTACTTTTTACTTACAGCCTTTGTAATTAAATTCCAAACGGCGTTTCAAAGTCAGGGATGGGTTCTTACATAACTCCTGGTTATAACCACACACTGACTCAAAAACATTTCCTTATTGTTGCCATTCCACATTTTAATTCCTCTCTCATTAGACCTGTGCTCACACGCTCTGCATTAGGGTAAAACCATCACAGCAAGAGCTGCCAGTCACTGAGGGAAGGGCAGGAGAAGCCCAAGGTTGGGAAAAGCTGCAGAACAAAACACCACTTCTACCTGAGGCAAGGGAGACACTGAACAAGGCACCAGGTGGTTTGGTCAGCTTTCCCTTCTCCACGAGCTGCCAACGTCCCAGAGAGGGGACAGGGACAGCCAAACCAACTGTGCAGGGCTGGTTCCTGCTCTTTTCCAGCCTGAAGCAAAATGACATTCCTATCCAAAACACACCTGCCAAGACAATTTACTCCCCTTTAAATCTCACCCATATAACTACAAACAGAAAGAACACTTCTAATCACAGTATAGCACAGTTTAATGTATTCCGTGTTTTGCTATCATATTAATGCTCAGAGGTTTTCTGTGCTAATGGCTTCCTGCAGGAAGGGATGTGTGCTCCCAGTCCTGTCCCATTCCTGTCCCTGTCCCAGCACTTGCCTCCACAGTAGAGCACCCTCAGGGGATAATCAGCATCGGACCTGGCTCCGCTCCTGCCGTCCCCTCTGCACTCAGGGACCACGGGCTCGGCCACATCCGTGGCCATGTCACCGACCTGGGGGACACAGGGGACACAATCAGCACCCAGGCTCTGGGCCTGAGTCAGTCACAGCCCGCCCAGCTCCAGAATCCCAGAGGAAATAGGGACAAGTGTCAAAGAGAAGAACAGGAAAATGGGAGTCAAAAATAATGAAAACATAGGGAAAACTGCTACAAAGGATACCAAGCAGTATTGGAGCTCTAGCACATAAGGGGAAAGAAGCCAAAGAGCCACAAAATGAAGAAAAATCTTTTAGAAACCCACATGGAATTAGAGAACACGTTGAGTTAAGGACAATTTAGTGAAGTATCATGTTAAATCAGTGGCACACGAACAGTGGGGGTACTTGGGGGCAGGTACCTCTTGCATATTAGCAAAGCAAAGGGGTCATTTAAATCAGTGCCTGAAGAGCCACAATCTGATCCAAGAACACTGGGGAAAAAATCAAAAAACAGAGCATAAAACAAGGAAAGCAAACTCAAGCCACTAATGGATGTAATAGTGGTTTACACACACGTTTTCAAGCAAGGCACTTAGAAGACAGGAGTCAACAAGGAAAGAGTTTGGAACACACAGGAAATCCCCCAGGACTGGGGGAACAGACAGGACCTGTGTGAGGGAGCTTGGGGCGTCGTACGGGCCGTGCTGAGCAGCGAGGAACGCTGAGGGAAACTGCCGAGGCTCAGGGGGGCTCAGGACAGAGGGACAGGGACAGATGGACAGGTGAGGTGCTGGGTG